TGGTTTGGTCCATAGCTGTTTCGAATTATATGGCCACAAAGTTGGTGTTCAAATACTGTCATGCTTCTCACGACTTTTTACCACTTACTTGCAGGTAATTTCTTTTCATAAAGTTTTTGCCACCTGTGTTTTCGATATCAGGAGTATGCATTGTTCTTTTCAGCTGCATGGTTTCACCCTTGGCGTAGCAGATATTCTTGTTAGAAAAGATGCTGACAAAGCGAGGAAACAGGCGATCAAAGAATCGCGGACAATTGGGGATCAGGTAGGGTTGCAAAATCTCTTCAATCTTTTCTCCTTTCCAGTCTTTCACTAATCAATAGAAAACCTTTACCATTTGATAAGAATGACTTTTTCTGTCAATCTCTTTCAAAGGTTGTGTTTATTAGGTTGTGCGCAATGCATTTGGACTTGATGAAAATGCTACTCACGCAGAAATCAAGCGGGTGTTGGCATCAACATATTGTAACCCAAGAGGACAAGGCCAAGATGTGAAAATGCTGGATTACTCTATGAAGCAGAACATATCGAAGTATAATGATGCTATCACGAAGTGAGGCTCTCACAAACCACCTTCCTTCGCCAAGTATTCCTGATTTTCAACTTTAGTTCATTTTGACCTTTTAACCTTAGGGCCTGCGTACCGGAAGGCTTGATCCGCCAGTTTCCAGAAAATGCACTTCAAGTAATGATTCAGTCAGGAGCTAAAGGGTCAGCTGTCAATGCAATTCAGGTAATCTTCAAACATTCGCTCCACCATTCGTGTTGTTTATCCTGACTGTTTTTGCAGATTTCTTGTTGCTTGGGTCAAATTGAATTAGAAGGCAAACGCATGGCTGTAACTGTTGCAGGCAGAACGTTGCCATCGTTCAAGTACGATTTTTTGTTACATTAGCGTTGAACATCAAAGCTTTTTGGATTCAGAGCCTTCGACCCTTCACCACGTGCAGGTGGGTACATCGACCAAAGATTCTTGACTGGTATTAATCCACAGGAGCTGTTTTTCCATACGATGGCTGGTAGGGAGGTAAGTTATCTACTGTGTGATACTTGTAGTACACTCTCTTACCTTTATGATCTATAGGGTCTTATTGATACGGCTGTGAAGACTTCTCGATCTGGATATCTGCAAAGATGCTTGATAAAGCATCTCGAAGGCTTAAGAATCCATTACGACGGGACAGTCAGGGATCATGATGGATCAGTTGTGCAGGTGAGCTGTGGAAACGAAACTTCTGCTTCCTTTTCGAAGTTTATCTGTGTACATTGGACAGAAGATCATTTCAAAATTACTCTTTATCGCAGATTTTTAGTTTCATTATGGTGAAGACGGGCTCGACGTAATTAAATCAACTTACATAAGTCCAAAAACATTTCCCTTCCTTAAAGACAATCTCGACGCTGTTACACATTGCTCTAAACCCGATGATATGCGCGACTCAGAGTTCAATGTGGAAGCGGCAGAAAAACAGTATAAAAAGGTTAGGTTACCCATTATTAACTTCCGTCCTCACATCTGGAAAAACGAAGAGAAAAATTGCAGATCAAAAAATGGCGAAAGAAAATGGGAACAGACCGTCCCAAGAAGCAATACATTTCCGGATTTACGCAGTTCTCTATGGATCAAATTGGTGCTGCCAAAGAGCAGATGGTTGCAATGTGGGCAGAAATGGATGCTGCGGAACGGCTCGTTTACGAGAAGAGAGCGCCAAGGAAGTGCCCACATTCAGTTGATGAGGTGAGCAACAGTTGTTGTAACTCATTAATTTTCTATTTCCTTTCCAGTTACTCACTTCTTATTCTCTTAATTGTAGAGTTTCCAAATGTTATCGCTGTGGGTGACGTTGAGTC